ATTGCTGTCACACTGTCAGCACCGGATACTGTATCCGGAAAATGGCCCGATTCCGCCAATCACGAGGCGGGTTCCATTTTTGGCTTCGAAATTTCAGCCAGCAGGACGATGGGCAAGCGCGTTGCCATCATTGGCACCGGCGTCTCGGGGCTTGGGCTCGCGATCCAACTTCAGCGCTCAAGTCGGCAGGACGAGGTCGTTCTCTTTGAGAAGGCGAGCGACCTCGGCGGGACGTGGCGCGACAATACGTACCCCGGCGCCGAGTGCGACGTCGAGGCCGAGCTGTACGCCTTCTCGTTCGAGCCCAACCCGTCGTGGTCGGCGACGTATCCGACGCAGGCCGAGATCTTGGCGTACCTCGAGCATTGCGCGACCAAGTATGACGTCCGACGCCTCATCCGCTTCAACACGACGATCGACTGCGTCGTGTACGACGCGTCCAGCTGCACGTACCTCGTCACGACCACTGCCGGCGACAGCGATACCTTTGACGTCGTCGTCTCGGCCGTCGGGCTGCTCCACCGAGCATTCATACCTGAGATCCCAGGCGCCTCGACGTTTGCTGGCACCGCGTTTCACTCGGCGGCCTGGGACCACAGCGTCGACTTGCGCGGGAAGCGGATCGCGCTCATCGGGGCCGCCGCCAGCGCCATCCAAATCGGACCTGCGCTGGCGCCGATCGCATCACAGCTGCTTCTTTTCCAGCGCAGCGCACACTGGGTGCTTCCAAAGAGCGTGCGTCGCTTTTCGTTGACCGAACGCTGGCTCGCGCGCCGCTGGTCGATTTACCAACGCGCTCGTCGCTGGGTCTGGCACCTCCTTCGCGAGCGCATCGTGTACCTTGTGCTCTGGCGTCACTACGTGGGATGGCTCCGGGCGATCTTTGCAGGCGGCTCGCAGCTCTATATGTGGTGGCACGTTCGCGAGCCAAGGACGCGCGCACTTCTGACGCCTTCGTACCCGTTTGGCGGCAAGCGTATCCTGGTCTCGGACGACTACTACCCCATGTTCCAGCGACCCAACGTGTCGATAGTGTCCGAGCCGATAGCGCGCATCACCGCCAACGAGCTCATAACAACCGACGGCGCTGCCCACAACGTCGATGTGATTGTCTTTGCCACCGGGTTCACACCCACGTCGTTTCTGGTGCCAATGGACGTCCGCGGTGTCGGCGGCCAGCGCCTTCACGACGCCTGGGACGGGTGCCCGCACGCGTACCTCGGCATGCAAGTGCATGGGTTTCCCAACTTTTTCATGCTGTATGGGCCCAACACCAACTCGGCCCACAGCTCGATTTTGCTTTTGAGCGAAGCGCAAGCCCACTACGTCGTTCAGTGCTTGCATGCGCTTGATGCGCAGGACGCGCGCGTGATGGACGTGAGAAGCGAAGCCAGCGCCCAGTACCAATGCGAGATGGCGCGCCGTTGCAACGACATGATCTGGGCTGACGTCGACGCGTCACCGTACAAGGACGCAACGAGCGGCAAAATCACTACCATGTGGCCTGGCACGATGCACGAGTATGTCACTCGGACGCGGTCCGTCGATGTCGCGGCCTACATCTTTGAGTAGCGTCCAACTCGACAAGTTTTTGGCTTGGTTATGCCCTTTCTGGCAATGAGCATGGCGACTAACTAGCTCTCTACTAGCATTCGAATTGAGTATAGAACTCGTGCAGCATGGGTCGCGTCGTGGGCGGTGGAGCTGCAGCGGCCACTTTGCATCAAAAACAAAGAGTGTTGGTCATTGCGAGATCTTGCCCTGATGCGCATGGTAGCATGGGTGGTGCTGGGGGGCACGGCTGGGGTGACGGCCGCCTGCGCAACGTACGCCGCCTGCCTCGACAGCGCCCGCGCGATCGTCGCCAACATGGTTGGACATGATGCACTGATGCGATCGACGGCTAACCCGCTTGAGTGTAGACGGTCCAGGCCATGGCAGCGCAGATGACGCAGCTTGATATTGGCCAAGTGCTCAACAGCGACCTCACATTAAACGAAGCCCAAGTCGAAGCATACGCCAAGCTCGGCATTGGCTCGTACCTCAACTCGCCGTTTGCGGGTGGCCCGAAGAACGCCAAGTACGGCTGGAACGCGACCGAGTGGCGCGATATTCTCGGCCGCATCCAAGCCATTCATCGCAAGATCGATCGTCACCCGATCCTCTTTGGCCTCGACTCGGTCCACGGCGCCAACTACGTGGCCAACGCCGTGCTCTTCCCGCACCAGATCAACGCCGGCGCGAGCTTCAACCGCCGCCTCGTCAAGGAGCTCGGGTTTTACACAGCGCGAGATACCGCCGCCGCGGGCATTCCGTGGATCTTTGGCCCGATCCTCGACGTGACGTCGCACAAGGCGTGGCCGCGCGTGTACGAGACGTTTGGCGAAGACCCGTTTTTGGTCACGCAGATGGCATCCCAGATCGTGCACGGTACAGTATATGTCTCAACCTCATGTTTTTAAACCGACGCGTAGGGCTGCAAGACAACCACACGATCGCAGCGTGCTTCAAGCACTTTATCGGGTACGCTGCGACGCCGTCGGGGCACGACCGCGACCCGATCACGCTCTCGGACTATGAGATTCTCAACTATTACATGCCGCCGTTCCAAGCTGCGATCGACGCGGGCGCCTTGAGTGGCATGATGAACTACGTCTCGCTCAACGGTGTGCCCATGGGCGCCAACCGCAAAATGCTCATCAACCTGCTTCGAGGCGACCTGGCGTTTAAAGGCATGCTCGTGACGGACTGGGGCGTCATTGACGACCTCGCGACCTTTCACCACGTCGCTGCCACCGAGGAAGATGCTGTCGCGATGGCGCTGACCGAAACCTCGATCGACATGAGCATGGACGCTACCCACACGCGCTTCATCGACCACGCGCTTGCGCTCGTCGAGGCGAAAACGATCGAGAAAGCGCGGCTCGCGGTGGCGGCCGAGCGCATCATTGCGCTCAAATTGCACTTGGACTTGTACGCGACGCCACTGCCGGGTGCAGACAGCGTGCCACGTGTCGGGGATGCCGAGAGCATCCAGGCGGCGCGCACCATGGCCCGCGAGTCGATCGTACTGCTCCAAAACCGCGGCAACGTACTCCCGTTGCCGTCGTCGGCGTCCAGCCTCTTGCTCACGGGACCGTCTCTCGACAACATTGGTCATCTCTGCGGCGGCTGGTCGCTCGCGTGGCAAGGCATGTCGGGCAATGCGATGTTTCCGCATGGTCGCTCGGTGCTCTCGGCGTTCCAAGCTCGTTTTGGCAACGTCACGGCGCTCGAGACAATGGATGTCAAGACGGCGATTGTCGCCGAGTTCACCGTGGTCGTGCTGGGCGAGGGTCCATACGCCGAAAAGCCCGGAGACATTGACGACCTCTCGCTGCCGCTCGACCAGCTCGCGTACGTGCGTTCGCTGGCGACGACGCCGACAAAGCTCATTCTCGTGCTGCTCCAAGGCCGGCCACGGCTGCTCCACGATCTGCCTCAGCTCGTCCACGCGATTGTGTATGCTGGGTTGCCCTGCGAGATGGGCGGCGATGCGCTCGTGGATGTCCTCCTCGGCGTTGTCAACCCGAGCGGTCGGCTACCGATCACGTACCCGCGATCCCCAAGCGACGCCAGCGTAGTGCACTACCACCCGCAAGACCAAGGCTGCCACGTCGGGTATCACTTTGAGGAATGCGATCCCCAGTGGCCGTTTGGCGCTGGCTTGAGCTACACGCGATTCCAGTATCGTGGAGCACACGCCGCCCTTCTCAACGACGCGCTGCAGCTGACCGTGACTGTCGCCAACGTTGGAGCAATGACCGGTGACGAGGTCGTCCTGGTGTTTCTTCGAGAGCACGCACGCTCCCGTCACGTGCCCGAGGCGAAGCGGCTCATCTTTTTCGACAAAGTCCACTTGGCCGCGGGTGCGTCGACAACGGTCCGCGCGACGCTGTCGCTACAGACGCTCGGCAGCTACTTTGGACCCGTGGGCGAGACCCCCACCAAGTCGCCGCTCGAGGGCGTGTTTACGGTGCAGTTTACCATCGCGTCCTGCGACGTTGACCCGACTTTGTGTGTGACGCTGACGACCACAACAAAGAAAAAGAAGGCGCTGGTCTTTGAGGAGCATGACGCGATGCTCGCCTGAGTTAAGTGGTGTCAATTAACGTTGTGTTCTGGCATCAAGAAGGGTTCTCCTAGTGGTCGTCTTGGCAATGTCATTCCGAGTGCGGCGGTGGAGGTGGTTGCAAGGACGTTGTGTAACTGGGAACTATGACGCCGTGGTCCTTTTTTTGGCATGCTTTGGTGAGAGGACAACATGTACTTGGTCTAGTGGTCAATCCTTGCGTTGGTGACGCAGACTCGATGATGGAATGTGCTGGCGGCAGCTCAGCTGCAATGTAAATGATTTTATGATGCACGTTTACTTGATACTAGTATGCAATACAGTATTTTGCTTCAATTCTGTGAGTGGCCACATTCTTTTGAATTTTAGCCAATGAGATGCGAGGCTATGGTGGCCCGCCCCCGCGCGAGGCCGCTCGGTGGGTCCAATCGCATCGGAAAATGAAATCGCCGCAAGCTGGCCCATCCATAGAAGACACGTTCGGGAGCTTAGATCGCGATGGCGCGTTGACGGGTGAGGCGTGCAACGCGAGCTATTGTCCAAACTATTAAAGGTGGCAAGTGCCATATATAGCTGCAAATAGCCACATTTAGCATACTAAAGTCTATGTACCGAATCTGCAGGCAAATCGGTGGCATCGACCAACCCGTCTGCCGCTGATGTTTCTTTTTCAAAGACACGATTCAAATCAAACCGTCAAAAGTCGAGATAGCATTGATGAGTCCGTTCCGACAGATCGAAACACGTGTGGTTTAGGACGACTCGGCGATCGACCGGACCGTCGCGAGTGCGTCCGAAATCGACTTGGCAAATTTCGTGCTGTCGCTTTCGTTGCTGTCCTTGAAGCTCGTAATGTTGATGGGAATCGTCTCGTTCTGGATGAGGTACCCGAGGCCGTACCCGGACGGCACGACGGCGCCAAAGGTAAAGTACGACAAGAATGGCATCGTCACGTTGCTCGTCGAGAGCTGGTAGTGAGAGCTCTTGGCACGGATCGGCGAGCTCAAAAAGTCGTGCTTAATGCCTGCCTGGGTCGCCGTGTCGTTGAGCATCGTGAGGTGGCGGTCACAACCCATGCCTTGCTGCGCCTCCTTGGCCAAGCTCACGTGGCGGTCGACGGCCTTTTTCAAAAACTCCTTTTGCGACGCCATGGACGCGTCCGAGGTGACGGCCGACACGAAACGCTGGGCTTCGCTCGTCGCCGACCGAATCGTCTCGGTGCGGCCGTGGAAGAACGCGCGCGTCGAGCAGCTTTCGTACGTCGGCGCCACGTGGCCATGCTGGCGAAAGTACGCCAACTGGTACGCCATTTGCACCGCGCCGTCCGGACTCATGCCCCAGTTCTTGATCGTGTTCTTGCCAAACCCGTCAAACGCGAGCAAGTGCGAGTCCGTGTTACCAATGGCCGTTGCCGACACCTCCTCGGCCTTGGCGATCGCTTGGTGGACCGTCGGCGAGAGCGACCACGCCAAGGGCTCGGCGGCCGGCGCCTCAAACGTCGTCGTCGCCGTGAGGGCCGAGAACCCAGAGTCCGACTGCCGCATGTCGTGCCACGTCTCGTGGAGCCAGCGGTTCCAGGCCGTGCCGTCCGAAAACGTATGCTCAAAGTTGACGGCGAGATGGCCGTCGCCGTACATGAGCACTTGGTGCTTGTCAAACCAGCGGTTGGACCCGTTGCCGTGCAGCGTCATGGCCGTGAGCTCCGATCCACTGTAGCTCTTTTCGTCGAGGACGAGCACGAGCAGCGCAGAGTCGATGGCCTCGATCGACGCCTTGTTGGTCGCGTCGTCGGCCATGAGCGTCGCCCGCACCGACGCCCACGCGTCACGGTCGTCGGCGGTTAAGGCGGCAATGTTGGGCGCGCCCGAGACCTTGGTCTGCATGATGCGGGCGAGCTGCGCTTCGAGTGACGCCGGCGAGATGACGTCCTTCCCGCGTGGGTCGAGCACCTGCACCTTGTAGAACGCATTGTCCTTGAGGACGACAATGTGCGTCGACGTCGGGTGGAACGCCAGTTCGTCGCAGCCCGTCTGCGGGATCTTGGCCGTGCCGAGCTGCTTGGCGAGCGACGACATGCACTGCTTCGGGTCCTGCTCGAGCTCGCCCGCCTTGACCTTCTGGAACCACTTGAGCAGCGACGTGACAAACTTGGACGTGCGCACGAGCGGATCCGCGAGGACCGACCCCGGCGCTTCGTCGACGAGGCCATAGCTACACACCGTGTATGAGATCGTTGTCGTGATGCAATCCTCGATAGGGCGCTTACCCAGGGTTGACGTTGATTGGGTTCGGGTACCGGCCACCGAGGTACATCTTGTCCCACCACGCCTCAATGTACGAGTACGGGTACGCGCGGCCCATGACGTTGACAAACTCTTGCTTGAGCAGCTCGTCCTGGAGCTGGCGACCGACCGACCGGTTGGCGCCAAGGCCAAAGTCTTCGACGAGCTTCTTGTGCTCCTTGTACTCGGCCGCCGAGACGAGCGGCTGGACCGAGCGCAGGTAGCGCTCCAGCGTCTCGTTAAGCTGGGGCACGGGCAGGCGCGGGAGGTCGTAGTCGTTGTTGTCGACCATGCGCAGGAACCAGCTCGGGTGCTTGGCCGTCGTCGTCGAGAGGGACCGCGCCAGGCGGCGCGACGCCGGTACCATGAGCTTCATCTTGCGAATCTCGAAATGGATTGCGTCAACGACGCCACAGATCCCGATCGTCCGGATAGGCCGGATACGCAACTCCAAGGTGGCATGTGCCACTTCAACCACACGTCCCACGTTCCTTCGGCTTCCATAACATGCTCCTCGGTGCGGAAGATAATGCAAAAAAGTGTCAGCCATATATATCTACAGATATATGTATGAGCACATTTAGGAGTGGCCGCCAAGGGCCTTGGTGGCACCCGACATGACCTTGCCGACTTCGTCCCACCCAGCCCACGATACCACTGACGCTCTTGGCGAAGAAGTTTCCCGCCCTATCCTTCGCAGGATACCAACCCTGGCAGAATATTTACTATAGAGCCAAAGGCTCGCGACATCGTGGCAGGTCACCGAACGCGTGGTTCTGTCGCCGCAAGAAATCGGCAGATTTTTTAAGTCTACCGCGGCAGTAGAGTGGTGTGTCCTTTGCCGCGCCATGGCGAGCTTGCCACGCGGGATGTGCAATCGACGACGTGACGCGCCGATCTCACAAACAAAATGAAGACATGGTCCCACTCTCGCCGTCCCTCGTGGCAGCCCCTGCGGTCGTCGTACGATGTGGCATGTGCCATTGTTAAAACAGTACCATTCGGCGTTTTGTAAAACGGTCAGCGGGGCATGGCCGACGAGCCGCGAGGCGATGGCGACGACGCCGCGAACGACAAGATCTCGATCCGGCCCGAGTACGTCATTGTCTTCTACTGCTGTACTCGCAGCGGCTCAGGGTGTACATATTGTCTTTAGCTTGTGCTCGGCGTGCGCGGGTCGATTCAAAGCAACGTCGAGTTCTGCTCGGACGCGACCTTGCTCTTTCCGACGGCGCACCACCTCGGGCTCTACAACGTGGACCGCAAGACGATGGAGTTCTTCCACCCGACGCGGGGCGTTCGGTCGGTCCAGAGCATGTGCCTCTCCACGAACAAGGAGCTCCTCGTCGTCTGCGAACAGTCGGGCCCGCGCTTCTCCCGCAACAACATTAGCGATCAGCTCGGCGTGACACCCAACCAAATCTCTATTTACAAGGTGCTCACACGCGCTCGGCTCAAGACGCTGCCATCGCAGTCGCACGCACCCATCTTGTCGGTGGCCTTCTCGGCAGACAACAAGTGCCTCGTGACCCTTGAGGACGCGCCGACGCACCGTATTGCCTATTGGAAGTGGGCCACCTCCAAGCTTGTGGCCCACGCGCCGTGTCCGTCGCGAGGCACGCGCATTCGCATCTCGCCGTTCAATCCCAACTTTGTGACCATCTCGGGCCCGATGGTGCTGCGGTCGTGGACGCTCACGACCGCCGCGGACTTGCGAATGAGCAGCCTCGTGCCGCAGATCCGCGAGCAAGAGCACTTTGTCGATCACGTGTGGGTCCGGCAGTACCTCGTGACCATCTCCGAAGTCGGGACGCTCCTTATCTTCCAAGGCGCCGACGACGGCGTCGAGCTCGTGCACTCGACCAAGCTCAGCGCGCTCCAAGCCACGTTTCAGGTCGGCAAGGTGCAGACGATCAGCGCCAGCGCCAAGGGCTTTGTCCTCGCGGGCACGTCCGGTCTCTTTAGCGTGTTTGAATTCTCGGTAGCGCATGCATCAAATATGTATCAAGATATCAATTGGATTTTGGTAGGACGACCCGAAAGACCCGTTCATTCTCATTCGGTCCATGTCGGCGGGCGACTTCGCCATCGAAAGCGTCGCGATCTCGCCCAACTGCGAGAGCGCGGTCGCGTACACCGACACGCAGCGACTCGTGACCTTTGCCATGGGGTCCATCGACGTCGTCCAAGACAGCACGACCGAATTCCGCGACCTGATTCCCAACGTACCCATCTATCTCTCGTCGTTTTGTACAAACTATTGACATAAGAGACAGGGCATGCACGCAGGGGCCATTCTGGCCGTCGACGTGTGCCTGCAAAAGCCGCTGCTTGTCTCGTGCGGCGTCGACAAGTCGCTGCGGTCATGGAACTACCATCTCGGGTCGTACGAGGTCGTGGCGATGCTGACAGAAGAGCCGACGACGCTGAGCCTGCACCCCGCGGGCTTTCAAGTCGTCGTCGCCTTCAAGGAGCGCGTCCGCATCTACAATCTGATCCAAGAAGGGCTTCGGGTGCTGCGGGATTTTAGTATGAAAGCGTGCAGCGTGCTTCGCTTCGCCAACGGCGGCCACATGTTTGCGTGCGGTGCGGGCTTGACCGTGTACATTTACCACACGTATACGGTACGTCCTTTTTTGATTTTTTCAAAGTGGACAAGTTGTCATTAGTGCGACCTGGCGTACACGCTCACGGGCCACATCAACACGATTCAGTGCTTGGCGTGGAGTGCCGACGACCTCCTGCTCTACTCGGCCGGCAACGACGGCACCACGTACTGCTGGAACGCGACCAACGGTGCCAACATGTAGCAATCAAACAGACGATATCGAAGGCGGACTAGGGAATCGCTGCGATGACATGCAACTCGTGATCAAGCACTGCAAGATCACGGCCACTGTCGTCGACCATCTCAACCCCAAGCTGGTAGCCATCGCGGGCTCCGACGGCCATCTGCGCGAAATCGTCGCCGGCGACGAGACCAAGAGCTTGGACCTTGGCGTGCCACTTACCGCCCTCGCGCTCACCAAGTCACGTTGGCTTGGTTGTTTTTTCGCATGTGGTAAATCCAACGTAGGTGGCTCTTTGTGGGAACGCGCACGGGGTGCATCTATGTGTTTCCATGGCCCCTGGGCGCGCAAGCCGTGCCCAACCAAGATCTGAGCGTGCACAGCGAGCCAATCACGACGCTCCGCCTCACAGACGACGACCGCGTCCTGGCGAGTGCGTCCCAGGACGGGTGCCTCGTGCTCTTCAAAGTCGATGAAAACATGGTCGGGCTGCCCGAAGACGTGGCCCACCGCCCCAAAGCACTCGCGACCGACGCGGTTCTTGTCTCGCGCGAAGAAATTGAGGACAAGAACGAGCAGCTCACCGACATTTTGCAGAAATACGAGCAAGTGAAAAGCGACATGGACTTTTCGCTGCATAGCAAGGAGAACGAGTGGCTCGACCGCATGCGCCTCCTCAAGGACGAGTGCGAGCACTCGCTCGTCCAAGAGCGGATCCGGTACACGCGCGAGAGGTTTGAATCGTTGTCTCAGGAGAGTCCCTATCGACTAGGTACGAAGAGCTCGAGATGCGGTACCAGAGTGCGCTGCGCAAGCACAGTGAAGACTTTGCCCAGAAAGAGTCGAATCATGCCAAGTTTTCCCAGGTTTATTTCACTTTTTCATCGTTTATTGTTTCAAAAGGGTACAACCTGGACAAACTTTCCTGTCGTAGGAGCTTGAAAATCGCTATGAGCACAAATTAGCCATGGAAATCGCGCGCTACGACCGGCTCTCAGAAGAAATGGAGCTTACGCGTCAGCAGTGCGCGCGCTCATCGAGTCG